TGATTTCAATAATAGGTATGTAAATTAACTCCAATATGAATAGGTTTCAGACAAAAAAATATATATATCCCATTCTGATTTAATACTTCCACCCTGCTGGTAAAGGCATGTTTTTATTTAAAAGAAACAACCACATATCTCTCTTAGTCATTTTCACAAATTTATATATATATATATATATATATATATATATATATATATATATATATATATATATATATATATATATATAAGTTTGATTGACCCTGGGTTTCATGCTTTTGCGATGGTCAGCACAAACTCACATCAATATGTTAGCTCTATCTCTGATATTGAGCACTTTCTAGTAAGTGCCATGCATATAATATATAAATAATAATAATATATATATATATATATATATATATATATATTAGATATATACACACACATATATATACATATATATATATATATATATATATATATATATATATATATATATATATATATATATGTGTGTGTGTGTGTGTATTGTGTGTAGTGCTCAATATCAGTGATAGAGCTAACATATTCAAGTTGTATGGATATGAATTTGTGACCCCGTGTTTCACGAAAAGCTTATTTTCTTTTCCTGGAGTGGTTTATTTTATTAATTTAAAGTATTGCCTTTTGTCCAAAATCTTTTATTTTCTGCGTTATGTGTAGTGCATACATTTCTATTTTTCATGGTTGTATTTTACAAGGTATTTATTTTAGTTTTCAATTTTTAAGTAACAAAGTAAAAATTTGTTTTTGTGTCTGCATTTTGAGATAAGTTCTGATCATTTATTTAGTCATTTGTGTTGGGTTGCAAAGGTGATTATAGCTATTTTTTTCCTCCAGCCAAAGTTTACAGATTTTGGGATTGGGATTTATTCTTGTAGGCTGATGCTGTTTTATTTTCTTGTGATGTCAAATACTTACTTGTTCTAACTTCCGTTAGATCAACAAATGTTAACTATCACTTCCAAAATGCTTATTGTAGACAAGACTTTGTAAATACAGATATTGGTAGTAGTAATGCCTTCAAATAATACTCGCACTAATAATATTTGTTTAAATAGTAATTACTGAATAGTAACTCGTATAATGATCAGTATAGAAAAATAGTATAGTGGATTGTATAGAGAATAGTGAACACTTAGACGTCACACTAATTCCCATTTATATGTTTCCTTTATGATCACGTGATCTACTTATTTAATAATGAAATGGTGTTTGCTCAGTGGGGATCTGTGTTTACACTACAGTGTTGGCAATGACATTTTATTCCTATACAACATCTTTATTTTTCACAATATTCTTTGTATAATTTGGATTTTATTTTTAATTTCCCATATATGATTAGAAAGCTTTGTGCTGTTTGCATATTAACTATTTGTAAAGGATGATTTGTGCATATAGTTTTATTTGTTTCCAGGGTCATTCATTTACCCCTATGTATATATTTTTCTTCATTACCTGCTCATTTTACAGTAGCTTAGTGTATTATATTGTTTTGAAAGCAATTGTCCTTTATGGGGCATTTGTTCTTTGCTCTGCAGTGACATGTGGGTTTGATTTTTACAATTGATTTGTTGGTGGTAATAAATTGTTGGCTGGTACAAGTAACTGCATTCAGATGAACATTTATTTCTACTCAATAGCCTCTAAAATAATTTGAAACAAACCTGTTACTGCCCACCCAATAACTGCTGGGATAATACAGTATCTACACATAATGCACAACTGACCAGCATATACAGTCAAAACAATGCAGATGGTTTGAAAATTGCATTTAAGCAAGAAACAAACTGTCACTCATGGGGTGTTGGCTTCAGTATCCAGTTTTATACTTACATATGCTCTGTCTACAATATTGAGCACTTTAACCCATAAATATAGCATACTTTAAAACTATATTCTTATCATACATAGACACAACATTTAATGCACATATAACATAAATGCAAAATTTGAGGAAAGCTTAAGGAACAAAAGGTAGCAATGAAATTTGAATTTGTAACCATTACCAAGGAAGCTTGCTATATCATGTAGCAATATCTGTGGAATCTTGCTGTTGAAGACTTGATGCATAATAAAAAATAATTTTACCTCTCTCATATATATATATATATATATATATATATATGATGAGAGAGAAAACAGAAAGCAGTGCTGTTTGTTATTAATAATTTCCAATTTTCAGTTTAGAGATTTAGATTGAACAAATTGAATATATTCTATAAAAGATTTACCCAAAGTTTAGGCACAGATTCAAAAATTTAGCAGCTGGATCATTTCAATTTATATAATCATTAATATTTAGTGAAATATATTTATTTTGTGCATGCGTGTGTGTGTGTGTGTGTGTGTGTGTATATACACATCAATACGCTAAGCATAGGTTAGCGCTGGGCCACAAGGCGCTCAGTGAAAACTGAATTTCACTATACCAACAAATGATCTTATGAGACTGGTTCATACTAACCAACCCTAGAACATGCATTATATATATATATTTGTCATGTTGTATTGATAATGTTATAATTTATGAATATGTCCTGAAGATGGTTTATTAGACCAAAACGTCCGACGTTGACATATTAACATTAAAACAGTATAAATTAGATATAAGGATTTTTGTTTGTTTTCCGTATATATTTTTCTTCATATGGATTGGAGTTTATAAGCAGTAAATTCGACCTTGTCTACCGAACGCTTCTTTGTAGCCTAGAGGTAAGGCACGTCAGCTTATATGACGGTTCCGTATAGGATGCAGGTTCGAATCCTGTCAAAGAACGAATATTTTCTATGAAAATTTCTCGGACATTCAGGCCGGTAAATGTTATTTAATACTGTTTATCATAAACAGAGCATTTGCTTAAATACTTGTATCTATAAAATAACAACGTTAAACATAAAAAATGTCTTTAATAAATATATATATATATATATATATTTAAGACATTTTTTTACGATTATACGTTTATATGCTCAATGCATATCCAAATGTAAACAAATGATGTCATACATTATGAAAAAATAAAAAAAATGTCTTACATAATTGTCGGACTTTGCCCATTTCATAATGTATATATTACATTTTATTCTTCATATTTCTGCCGTTTTTCTATCCCGACATTACCCTTGAGACTGTCAAATCTATTTCCATTTTTGTGTATCATGCATGCGTTCATGTTCCCATTATTAGCTGGCACATGTATATGTATATTCCCACCACATATATACATACTGTCTTATAAAAAGGAACCAGCTTACACATATATATACATACACACACACACATGTGAGTAGTCTATCAGTTTCTGCCAGTGTATGCATATATATATTTGTTCTGCATGGATACCTGTTTGCACACAAACCCACATAATAACCAAAAACGTTTGCAGTTTTTCACATTTTTAAAATACACATTTTTCTCTTGTTAGGACAACTATAGCCTTTTTCTATATATATATATATATATATATATATATATATATATATATATATATATATATATATATGTTTGTGTGTGTGTATGTGTGTTTTATTCATTTCACTCCAAACAATGTTATAATGCCACTTGGATGCAAGGTGTTGCTGGAAGTGGAAGAGAATGAGAAGACTTTAGCGAGGAGGACAGGATTCAGGAAGACAGAAGATGGTGATTGACATTGCATTGAAATCTTTGAAGCTTGTAGTTGGCAAAGAAGCAAGAAATAAGAATGGTTGTTCCACAGCCAAGAAAAGTGAGGTAACTATTAGAATAGAATAGTTGCATCTAGCTAGTTCAACAACAAAACAGTGAGACCAAGTTGCCAATTGCTTAAATTCATGCAGTCAAAGCACCAAGATATATATATATATATATATATATATATATATATATATATACACGCACACACGCGTGTATGTGTGTGTGATCAACTCTTAGGGAGGATATTTTGGCAGAGAGGAATAATGCTGCTAAATCAAGGAATTGCAGAAATCCAAGACAGATATTTCTGTCGAAAAAAAGGCATCTATTTCTTTATTTCATTTTCTTTTATTAATTTTTTTTTTTACATAAATAAAAAAAAAACATCAAAAACAAAAACAACAAAAAAGGCTCCACTCCCCCAAAAATATTTAAACACAGACAATTCCAAGAAAAAAAAATTTCTAATCATTTATAATACAAAATTTCATTCTTAATATCATACATGCACACATCCACACGCACATACATACATACATACACATGTATGTATGCAGATGTATACATAGATACACACCAAAAAAATTGCTTCAATTACAAAACTGTTGTGGCAGATAAACTATTGGAAGGAGGAATAAAAGGAACGAGGGGAAAAAAAAAATCAAAAAGACCCTAGCATCTGGCAAAGACGAGTTGAAGCATTCTACATTAGTTTTATGTGCACAAACTGACCCTAGGCCCATGGGCGAGCCACTGTCCACATTGCAAGTATAACAACTTACAGAAACTAATGCCATGTCAGTCCACGAGAAAAGGGAGTGGCCAAATATCCTGACCATCTCCTCAATGTGTTACAGTTGTGCCATGAAGTTATGCTGAGATGTTCCTCTCCCTTCAACGTAAATGAACAGGGCAGAGCAGGTTGGTGGTTGGTGGGAAGGGGAATAGAGTATCAGACATGAAATGTCTGCATGTCCCGGGTTGACACTAGAAATGTTCTTACAGTAGGTAACTTGGCCCGAGGCCATTTCACCACTCCCCTATACATATTATGAGGAGTGGTGGAGAGAGAAAAGAAATAAACAAAACAGGATAAACTGGTTCAAGATTTGTTCCTTAAAAAATAAAAATTTTAAAAAAAGCTGAAACAAAAAGAACAGCCAATCAGATACATGTTTTTTTTTTTTGGGTTTTTGTTGTTTTTTTTTTGTGTTTTCCTGAATGAATGTTTCTTTTCCTTTTTTTTTTTTTCGTTTGGTGACATCCGACTGCCGGACATTGAAAGACGAGAAAAAAATTTAAGAAAGACCAGCACAGCTCAAAATGTGTGGGCATTACGGCAGACACCACATCCAAGTGCAAATTCTTCTCCTGTGGGTGGATGCTGAACATTTAAGGGGCACTCATCACCTTCCATGGGCTGTGCTTTAGGACCTGAAACAAAAATAAAACTATTAAACATGGAGGGAATTCATTGCAGTTGTTATTGTTTTGGCCAAAATGTTTTTTCAGTAATTTTCTATTTAATAATCAAACAAACTTTTTGGCCAACCCAATCATCATTTATGCATTTCTTTCTTTCTTTGATATTTTATTTCTTTTTATACAACAAAATTCACAATAAAATTGAATGTACACATAGATAGAGAGAAAATTTTCTTTTTAAAAAAAAATGATGTGATGAAGAAAGTTAGGAGTCACGGATTTGGATTGGATCCATGAAAAAATGTGAAAGAGAAAACAAAACTGATATGTAAATCATGTTTGACCTTTACATTATACCTGTTACAGATGCCTACTCAAGCATATTTTTGTTTGTTCAACACTCAGAAACAACCTGTGGTTTATAATGAAATTATGCTGAGTGACCTTAGTTGCAGTTTGGGGGAGAATGTGTGTGATCAACAGTTTTGTTTTTTTTAACATGGACAGTACAGATAACTAGCCGACATTATTTATTTGAAATTAAAAAAAAAAAAGAAGAATGATTCTTACAATTCAAAATATTTTTTGTCTTTAAATAACCCACTAAGGGTTGGTAAGCCATAAAAAGAAAAAACAATCTGAAGCACTGCACTGAGTAAATTCTAGTACTAAAAAAAAAAAAAAAAAAAAAAAAAAAAAAAAAAACTTAGAACCAAGAGGACGTGGTTGTTCCTACACTTTTAATTATTTGGTCCTAAATAAGTTGGAAAATGATCCTAGAATATATATATATATATATATATATATATATATATATATATATATATATATATATATATATACACACACATATATATATGAATTTTATTTCAATCCTTCATGAGCTTCTGATCCTTAGTTATGATTAATTAATAATGAAAATGGCATTTTCATTTATGATCGATTTCATCATGATTCATTTGCTAAGCTTTGAAAGTAATTATACATTCTTATTGCTCAAAGTAGAGTTCAATATTATTATAAAAACCTCAGAGATTTCCAGTAAGATATCTTTAATCATTTCAACAGTTCAAAGCTTAATCTAACAATTGGACAATTTTGCTGTTACACCCAGTGTATATACAGAAAGGAAACAAAATACAAACCAACATTTAGTATAATATCATACATTGAGAGAAACATTGAAGATGCCGAGACATTTAATATCTAGGATGAGTAGTTATCGTTATTTATTACTTATATATGGACTATTGTCCTTATTTTTGTTGTTATTGCTATTAAAACAATTTTGGTCATTGTGTGATCCGTACAGGGAATTCCAAACTGAACCATTTATTATTATCTATGGAGGTAGACCATTCTCATTCCATTGTGTATCTCTAGGGATATCTTGTCCTAGTACTGCCTATTTATTGCCTTCCCTGTTTCCACTAAGTCCAAGTACACACTGCCTGGCTTGGTGATTAAATAAAGAGTTCAGTTTGAAATTCCCTGTAGGTTACCCAGATTGACTTATATTTAAATTTTAAATTCTTGGTGTCCAATAAGTCTAGATGCACAATCTATCGAACCTCATTCTGCTTTGTATTGTTTCTGGTTTTGTTTTTATTGCTGATGCTTTTAAATATCAGTCATTTTCTGTCAGAACCTCAATTCTTTATATCAAACAGAGGTGCTCACTTCAACATACACAGCTTGTATCACAAAACCAGAGCTTGTCCAACTCGATGCACCCACTCTCAGAATACTGCCTAAAAGTCATAAAACTTTTTTTCTGACCAAACTGAAAAAGGCCCACACGGTTTTCAGAGTAGGTGTCTCTGAGCCACTGACTATTAAATCAATGCAATTTCCACCAACAAAGACAGATCCAACCCAGCTGACATTAGCAACAAACTACCCCATGGCAGGCAAGCAAATTTAGAATACATGACTGCCCAACAGCAGTAACACCAAAGTGCTTCCATCAACAGTAATGCCTTCGGCCAGTGATGAAACCAGCAGAGCTACTAACTGCTGACTACTACAATATGATAATTACTGGAATATTTTTTCCAGTGAGTCTATCTTGACTACATATTCATGTTGATTTTCTCCCACAAGTTTATTTCAACTGCTAACCTTGTGTTATACCGTGAACAAACCCTCAGTCTCCTATCGCTGATATACAATACCCTGGAACAAGCAAACAATAGAAATGTGTAAATCACAGGAAATAAAAACTCTTATTCATCTCAATCACATCTTATCTCCATTTGTTGTCTTGTTACTTTCAGATTTTTTTTGTCTTGTTAATGGTAAGGCTGTTGCTGTATATTCCACATTGTAATAGCAGTTGTGTTGTTAAGAAAGGCAACATACTGTATAAATGTGGATGTAAACTTACTATAGAAGACTCAGAAATTAGTGCACTCTCTATACATTTTGAGCTTGATAAATTACTTTCTCTTTTAATTACATATATATTTTAATCAAACAATTTTTAACTAAATGCATATCAGTTATACATGATAGCTAAGGGGTACCTCAACATGGTATAATGGTTAGCAAACTTGTTAGAACCCTTACAACTGAATATTGAGTTCGATCCTCACTGGGTGCCCATACTTTCAGCTTTGTGTCACATCTAAGCTATGCATAGAAAATCAGCATATGATAACTAAGGAAATATGGTAAGGAACCATTCACACAAAACAGATTCTGCTACAACTTCCACAAATCAAGCAAAAATTATTAGGTTGAACAGATTAACAGTTTTAATGTTTTACCATTTCATTTTCGTCCCATCATCAATTTCTGTACAGAAAAATGAAAAACAATTTAAAAGGAATAAAAATTTGCGGGAAAATTATAATTGAAAATAAATTCGCATGATTTGGTCTTTGAAATAAACCAGAAAAAAAAAGCACAAATCAACAAAGAAAGAAAAAAAATAGTTCTATAATTTACTGACCAGCAGGACATCGAGGTAAGTCTGCCTTTGGAATGTTGGTCACTCTTTGAAAGTCATCATGGCATGTATTACAGAAGTGTGTGGTTCCAAAGCAGAAGAACACTGCCACTGAACAACAATAACGGCATTTGTACTCCAAGAAATCAGTTCCATGTTTTGGACATAGCTTAAAGAAAATAAATAAAATAGAAAAATAAACAAAGAGAAATGTATATATTATTCATATAAAATGCAAATTCTAGAATATTTCATATGACATTAAAGAATTTCTCAAGTTGCCGGAAGATCTTGAAACTGTTACCTTTTTCCATCCTAATTTTGTTATTTGCAAACAGAATAAAGACTTAAAAATGTGGCTTCATACTCAAAGAGAGAAACACATTGTTGGTTCCAATGTACTCAGGAATGGCTGAAAAATTATCCCCCTCCTCAAATTTATAAACAAAGCATACAGATGCATGCTGGGATTTCTTCCTAGCCAATAAGATTAGGCCACTTCTCAGTCTCATCTGACTTAGTTCTGTTCTTGAAGCCAGAATGTTATATTCACTTTTCTGTATCCTGTTTTGTGTCTTAACACCATTCTTAGTTTGCGAACTTTTTGCCTTCTTATTGACGTTTTGCCTTGCATATATTGTTTGCTTAATATTATTTGTTGACTTGTTCTTTTCTTTCGCTTGTTATTGTTTAATTCAAGCTTTGTCAATTCTGTTAATTATACTTAACCAGGGCCAATTTTACTCTACACACATTTTGATAAAAATTTGTAAATGACAACAATTATGAAATAACTCCCTTCTGATTTATTCACAATTTTTATCATTAATTAAGACAAAAGTAGCAGTAGTAATAAAAATTTCATGGTTTTCCTGTTTGAAATTTTCCAATGAATTCTAATTCCTAGTTCAATGACTGGATATGTTCCTCAAGATTTGCATGATTATAAAATTCCTGTGAAAAAATCCATATTGCATATTTGAAATTAACAACTTTAGCAAAATATTGCAATAACAATCATAAGTATGAATGCAGATCATTAATTAAAGAAGAGGGCACAAATGAAAAAAATTCAAAATTTATATAGTTTTCCATTTCACTAAAGCAGACATTAATCGCCTGATAGCATTATCACTTCCTCTATATACCTTTTCTCTTTTTTTTCTTTTTTGTTTCTTATTATACATGTTTTATTATTCTCACTATAATCTTGTATATCTTTTCTTCTGCCTTTACTTGTAATAGTCCATTATTTATCTGAGGTAATGACAAGGCATAATAAACATGCGAAAGGAAGAACAAATAGAATTATACAATGATTTTTCTGACTGTGATATCATTTGAATTTAATTTACAGATATTAAAAAAAATTATTCTATTATAGCAACCAACAAACATTTTTCAATATTTTCTAATAAGCACGGTTTTATTCTGTAAAATGTAAAAAGTAGTGTAGAAAATTGGGAAGCAAAATCAAAATGAGTAATAAAATCTTCCAGAGTTGAAGTGGTTAAGGCATCATCCATGAAAGACGAGGTTCCCAGAGTTCAAGTCTCATCAGAAACTATTTTCTATTTCACATTTTTTTTTATAATGGTTGTACATTGTATCAATCAAAGACTCTTGACAAAAAGCAAAAATAGGATAAAATGAATGAATTATTATTTATTAATTGCAACCCTTCATGTTGAAGCGAGGATAATTCTTCGATAGAGTTACAACCATTGTAATAGTTTATCTAAATACTGTAGATACATTAATATGTGGCACAAGGCCAAAGGGGAAGTGGTGAAAGGCTGGTCAACATTGACTATCCTACACCATTCACTAGAAATTTTCTCAATCACCACAAGAAGCCATCCTTCTCTATCAAATCCAATATGTACCACAATATGACATCTTTGCAAGGATCATAAGAAAATACCCAGGATTTAAAAGATTTCTTCATAACTACATATATTTCCCTGCTACATTTTTGTTTTTTTTAAATTTTATTACAAAACTATATAAAAATTTACACAAAATAAGAGCGGCCACTGTATTTTGCCAATAAACAGAATCCAGAAGCTCATTCACTAGTGGCAGGGAGCAACAAATCAATTTGGATATAGGGAAATATATAAGGCTGATCCAATGAATATCAAAAGTGAGGATAAAAACAGGTGCAATTGGAAATATTGATGAGGGCTATAACAAAAGACAACACCAGGACCAGGAATGACAGCCACTCAGATTAACTAGGCGAGCAAAAAGATTGACCCCATTCACATGAGCCAGGTTCTTAAATTGCACCCACTTTTTGTTGAAATCTACTGAAGGCAAACACTTTCTATTAGTTCTAATCTTCATTCTGAGCTGATAGCCAAAAAATCCAATAAGATCCTCATAAAAGAGACTTCATTTCATAAGATTCCCTCCATTTATGTCACCAACAGTGCCATTCTTGCCATGGCTAACAGTGCAAGAAACACTGTTTCATCCAAGACCACAGGGGGTGATACATTATTGCACATACACATGAGAGTGATGGACACAATACGTTCAGGATCGATACAAGTGATCAAATCAGAGATGATTTCAAAACAAGCACATCAGTGGACAAGGGAAGAAGTCATGCTCAGCTGTTACCTCTAAGCCACAATCGTATTTATAACAATTGAACATTTCTGCCAAGCCCGCACTTGTAATATAGTGACAGAAAAGAAAATTTTTATACCAACACTCAAAACAATGTTACAAATTCTCAGTACAAAGTGTTTTTTTTTTTTTTAGAGACTCAGTTTAAATGAAATTTAATTTCTATGTACCATGGTGATTTTGGGGGTACTCTCTATCAAAATCCAAATATATGTCATAGTTTCTTTGTGATGAAAAATGAGGATTCGGTAAAAAGATTCTTGGATTTAAGAAAAATTACTCAAGATCTTTCTGAGGCAGACTTGTTCACCAAAACAACCTGCACTAATGATTTGTTTATTAAATTTGTTTATATAGACACACTCAATCCATCAAAATAACATCATCTATACAGGTGAATAGTATGCCATGGGTGAGTTATAACAAATGACACACCTTACTTATTTCTTACTGCAACACATAATAAATATGCCATGCATGTGAGTAAAAAGAGTTTTATTAGTATGACTTTTCCTATTCATTGGTGGCTCAGGAATATACACATACAAGACAAAATACTTCCTCACCTGTATGTGTTTATAATCAGTGTAAAATAGCAGAAATCTTCCAAATGCATTTTATACAAGACTTTCCCAAATTCAAAAGTGAAGAATTTCTGAATTTTTCTTTCCTGAATAAACTTAAAAAAAAAACAACAAAAAACGTGATGCATTTTGTAACAATTTTAGCAAAAAACTTGTTACAATGAAAGTCTAACCCATATCTACGTGTAATCTATTTAAACTGACATTTTTTTTTTTTCGTTGCCTGTGACAGGGGAACATATATCAAAACTCTAAACTGTAATTTTAGAAGATGAAAAGTTCACTGAAATATGCTGGAAAATTTCCAATTTTTCATCTAAATTAAAGAAAATAGAACTTTAAACAAAATGGTTGCAATATATGATAAAAGGAAGATGACAGTTCAAAGCTACTAATATAATTGTGGTTTCTAAAGAGGAACTGAGTTCATACCTGAGCCCTGGAGACATCAGAACATGCTCCACAAACCAACTCCGTTGGATCATAATCATCAACAGCACCAACCTGTTCATCACAGCGAGCTTCTCCTCCATAATAGGCCTGAAGTCAAAACAATCAAAGATATATAAATGAATTAAACAATTTCATAGCTTCTTCTACAAGACATTTTATGAAGAAACAAAAAAAAAATAAAATGAAATAAAAACACTTCTGATTAAAATAGGATCAATCTATTTATCTCATCCTTAGTAAAAAGTGAATTTTCTACTGGATGCACAAGAAATGTGGCCTTGTACCAAAGTTTCAAGTTTTTAAATTTTATTTTATATTTTTCTGTTTGCTACACCAATGGCAGTGAAAGCATGTTCTTGACTATCATGGGATTGTTCTTAATCTTAATTTATCAATGAAGCTTCTTTTTTTTTCTTTTTTCTAACAGTTAGGTTCATCCTTTATAAAGCCCAAGAGCTACTCAAGGTAGAGAGTCACATCAGGTGTGGAAGATAATGGTTGATCCTAGCCTTGAACACGTTAAGATTGTATTGACCACAGAAACATCCTCTGGGGAATCAGTTCCACAGAGCAGTGGTTTGCAGAAAGAAGCTGTTCAAGTGGAACTTACTTCTCACCAATGGAATGCGAGTGGTTTACTACTATGTAAGTGGCAGGGCATGTCCTAACCATGAAGGTTTGAATTGACGGGACCAGAGAATGTAGTTCCTCCAAACATTTTTGATAGAAGTAGCAATAAAGCAGCAAGAGGCTTGCCACATCCTGCCTGTAAAAGAGAGGTTGGAGGGTGGAAAATAATTCATCACCCACAAGGACAAAGGTGCTTTCGCAGAAAATAAAACAAATAAAAGGCTGGACATCAGAATTATCCAAAAATGAACTTGCATCTAAGAAGATGCATCATAAAAAACTGGAGAATATAATTTGATTTGGCTTCCTGCAACTTACGACATTTCCAAAAGATGCAATGGACATGATTAAGACGAATGTGACAAAAGAGTTGATGGTTCACCTCAAAAGATACTTACAGACTGTAAAAGCCCGGAGGTTGAACGGAAAAGCTAGATGAGATGACAGGAAAATCATTGCAATAATTCTGAACAGTTTTAATTTAATAAATTTTGCTAACCTTTATTTAAATGAAAGGAAATGAAGAACACACATAAAATAGTAACAAACTCATTCAATATCCTCTACCTTGAATGGCTCTTGGGCCTTGTATCTGATAAACAATATAAAAAAATATAATATTATAATGGAAAGGAGACTCCGCTTTACCAGACAATTCTGGAGAAGCAAAGGAGAGCTCATTAGCAATGAACATCTCTGCAAAGAATCTCATGGATAAAAATGGATGCTCTTCAAAGATGTATATTGAGCAACTACCTCAAGATGTAATAAGGTTTGATCATTTTGTTTTTTACAGCTTACCAACCTTTTGCAGGTTATTTAGAAACATGAAATATTTTTATTTTAAGAATAATTTGTGATAATTATTTACTGATGCAAATGTTACTAATTCACCCATAGCTGGAGGTAGATTTATACCTTTCCCAAGAATATTTTCAGATAAGTGAATATAACAAACCCAACTGGAATTGAAACTTGGTTATTTGATCTCCAATTCCAAGCTGTACTCCATTACACCACACACACATCCAAGCTTACAACACCTGATATTCCCACACAGTCACCCATCTAGCTACTGATCAGGCTTGATGTTGCTTAACTTTGGTGATCAGACAAGAACTACTGTTTCAACATGATATGACAGTAAGCCAGATGCAATAAGGATGAGCAACCAAATTCCACGGATGAGAAGAAAAGCAAACATAAGCAAGTTCAACATGATACCAATGAAACTCATTACACTCATTACAAGAAATATTGTTTTGTTACAAACAGAGGAATGATATTTTTCTGTCTGACACACAAATAAATGCAAAAAAGTGGAACTGTATTACCTATACGTAATTTGGAAGGAGGAGGTATGGTGGACTAATGGATAGCGGCTGAGATTGAGGAATCGGAGAGCAGGGTTCGAATTCCACTCAAACCCATTACATTCACTTACATGCTAATACCCTTGGGAAAGGTATGAATCCTCTTCCTCCCCGACCTATGGGTAAATAGCAGAACAGACCAAGTTTTATAGACTTAGATGGCAACTGGTCTACCATAGGAAGAAATGGCAACCTACTGCAGGAAAAAAATCTGCCTCATCAGTCATGTATCGAAAGATACATGATCGCCTAAGTGTGTATCACGCATGGCACATAACTGACTGAACCAAATCTCATGGATGAAAAGGAAAAGGTAGAATCAAGCAAATAGGAGTAAGTTCGGCATGATGCTGATGAAACTCATTAAGCTCATTACATAAAATATTGTTTTGGTAAAATCAGAGATATTTTTTTCTCTCTGATGCACACATAAATGCGAAAAAGCAGAAAAGTATTACCTATATGTAATTTGGAAGATATCTGTCAGGTTGGGCAGATTCTATAGTGATGTAACATTTTCATCTGGTTTGGTTTGGTTCATTTTACGGTATATCTACCTCAATGGGTTATTTAATGCTAACAAAATTTTTATTGCTGGTAATAACTTTTTACAAAAATGTATTGCTGGTAATAAAACCTATTTTTACACTTTCATTGTGTTTTGACCCCAGTTTGGGGGTTAACTATTTGCCCATAGCTGGGACCCTAACTGGTGCTACTACCCTGGAGCACAGTGGACCTGGGAACACGAGCAATTAAAAGGTGGTTCCATGGTCCTCAAAACCTCCTGATCAAAGGCCTTGCTGTTGGATGTAGTTTATCGTCTTATCCAGGACATGGATGTAGTTTATCATCATTACCCATAAAAGCATATTCATCTGGATTTACTTACCTTATTGCATTTATAACACACATAGTACGCATAGCGTTCCATTGCAAACCCAGCTGGGTCATTGTAAAATCGAGCACCCACAGTAGTGATTGCTTCAGCTTTGTGCAAACCTTCATATTCTAGCCTCATCAAGGCTTTCCGGCGCACATCTTCATACAATTCACGGATCGGATTCAACAGATCTCGTAACACTGGATGGTTGATGGTGTCCTAAAAAATAAAGAAAAATCAAAGAAAATAAAAAAAGATGAAGAAATTACAAAATATCTTTCCTTATAATATTGTCACAATATCCAAATAATATCCATGCAATTTTGCCCATTTTTAAAATCATGGATTCAATTTTCAGTTGAAAAAAGTTTGTATCAATTTATTTTGACATGAATTTTACTATAATTTTTATTTCCTTATAATCAGATATTGCTTCTATGTTCTTTCTCACCCACTATTTTTTAATATTTTTACTGACACATCTTCATAAACAGTTGCACACTGCATCTAAGTAGACACACCCATCCATCAGACATTTCTTATTTCTTTAAATAGAAAAAAAATCTTCCTAATATTGTTATTTCTTTAACTTGTTTTGTGAAGCAAAAAAAAGGACCTTAAAGGACAAATGTGCCACATGACATGACAAAAAAACTGAGTGCCAAAGATATACATAAATAAATTTAATTAAATTTCCCAAAATAAAGTATAATTTGTCTTATATTGCAATTTCTAATCATAACTAAGAAAAATAGAGATGGCATTATATAAGGCTTCAAATATACAAGGTATCATTTTCTATTTGTAACTAGCAGCCATACCCAGAATTAGAATGGAGCAAAAACATCATCATGTTTAGATGTAACAGAGTCTATCTTCTTCAATTACTTTAAAGTACTTTCATTAAAAAACATTTTGAATTAATGCAGTTACTGATATAACAGAAGTAGTCTGTATTTATTCAATCAAAGTCAGCCGAGGACATGAAGGGGGAAAACAGACAACATGAAGACCCATTTCAGACCACAATTATTTTTGAGTTTTTGAAATTCAATTTGTCATTGTGCTACCAGGGATGTAAAAGAGGATACATTTATAAAGCCATTGTTAAGTTTGATGAAAAATAAGAAACCAGTAAAAATTGCCATTTTTCACAATTTACATGGGTTTTCACTATATGGGTGAACTCAATTATCAAGGTAAATGACTGCTAAACAATCAACTTATTGTTGGCTACAATTGAGTGAAGTTTGAATTAGATTGCTTGAAAATTGAGGGAGTCTTTAGTTTAAAATTTGTGTTGAAATCGATTTTTTGTTAAACTTGTCATGATGTAACCTACATAACTAGTTGAAACGAAATCAAAGGAAAAAAGTTTAATTTATTGATTTTTCATCGGCTTTATCGATTATAGATTTTTTATGCTAAGAACCTATCTCTTACATTGTACAATGTATGTGCCAAGTTTGGTAAAAATCAGTTGATGGATCTTGAGTGAAACAGTATCACATAGACATCCTCTGTTTTTATATATATATATATATATATATATATATATATATATAGATTATAATAAAAACCAGAGCTGGCATTTACAATTCATTGACATAAACCTTGTTTTTGAATTAGTATTAAAAGTTAAATTTCCATGAATTATAGAATATAGATTCATCACAATTGAAAATAATTATTTAAACAAAATACTCAAAGCATTTCATTCCATTATACATAATTTCCACACTGCTGAGTTTGCCTTGGTCTCCTACCAAACAACAAAAATATCCTTGCAATTCTAAAGAGTCAGTTCAAAAAGCCAAACCATTTGCAATTAGCTACATACACAACATATACTGACCTACAGTTGAGTCCAATGTTCTTATTGACATTTTTATTTTTACAAAACAGTGCTCAATGTAAATTTACAGAGCATAAATATTATAAATTAACTGATTTAAAAATATGGTTCCATCACTACACAGGAATTACCTTGCTTCAAAAACAGAAACTAACAACTTCAAATTATATAATTAAATTAAAAACACTAGTTCTGTTTCATTTTCAAAATTTGCTTGAATTGTGGTGAGATTCAAAACAGAATTTTTTTTATTTTTTTTTTAACACTTTCAATGTTGAAATCTTGCCTGTCTGTACTGGCTTGCTTTGGAGGAAAAATAGAAAATTCCTATTTACTCAAAATAAATGAGTGTAACAATGCTGACAGCAATTTTGCATCAGTCTCGGCAGTTTGGTTTCATTATTTAATAATGCTGGATTAAATTACTTTGTTTTATGTTGGTTGACAGTGCAGAATAACAAGGATGTCAAACTCAAACACCTATGGCCTATTAGGTTACCTGTTTATCGTAATAAATATTACATATGTATATTCATATTTACTAAAATGCAAATTAAGTTTAGCACAAATCACAAAAAAGGTACACCTTTAACTATAAACATTAAGAAACACTTACAGCATTTGGCCTTGAGTCACATTTTTGTACTATCATACAAATAAATATCTATTCCAAAATGCTCCTTTTAGGAGAACAAATACAGACTAGTACCCAGATCAGCATTTCGGCTGTTATGTCCTCTGGCCTTCATCAGTTGTATGTTGATCCAGGTAACCTACATAGATTTCTGAACCAAAACATTTATTTAATCCATAGGGGTAGACTGTTCTCATTACATGACTCATGTCTAGGGATATCTCTTCTAGTTCTTATTCTAAGTGTTCTGCTATTGCTCACCCTGTTTCCACTGAATTCAAGTAAGTACACACACTACTTAGCCTGGGGATTCAGTCAGAAAATTAATGTCAATCTGACAGTAAGAATAGGTTATACAAATAAGGTTCTCACTTATGTATAAAAACCGAAAAGAGATTAAAAGAGTTTGCATGCATGGCTGAGATGGTATAAGCACTTATTTGTCCAGTGACATATGATATGATTAACTGGTTCAGCAGTGGGGGAGGGGGGTCAAATCCCACAAGCAACAACTTTAGGGTTTGTGGTAAGAAACGCTGCAGTCAGGACCAGATTAAGATCTTTTGGGACCCCCTAGGCTAATGAAATAATGCCACCCTCACCTCAGACAGAGCTATGCACTAAATAACCTGCTTGAATAATTTTTTTTTTTTACTAAAGATATACTTTAGTGACATTTACATAGCTTGAAGTAAGCTCATTGCAAATTCTTTAAATAAACTAGGATCTTCTGTTATTTTACTATTTATTGCAAACCAAATTAAATTAGCACATATTTCAACAGAACTGTAGTAAAAAAAAAAAAAAAAAAAAAAAAACAACATTATAAACAAGCTGAGGGACCCTAGTCGGTAGCCTATAGGATAATCCAGCTCTGACTGCAGTGCATAATGAAGCAAATAACATTTGAAATATTTTCTTTTCCAAGGGGAGATAACTCTAAAACAGGTTTGAATGAAAGCAGAAGATAATAATTGTTGCAAAGAAAAACAAAACATTGTCAGTGGGAAATCAGTGCAAATCTATTGAGATGTGGGTGACCTGAGGTGCCTTTGTACCTACCCTGAGTTCAGATTCAGAGGAAGTGAATTCCATAAGTTGCTAAACGGGAAAGGAGAGAAACAAAATGAACTGTAGAATCACAGAACAGGTACAATCAGAACTTACAATCAGCCTTACCTTGGCTTTTGCACTTAAAGTCGTTAGCAATTGAGTAGCTATTAATCATGGCATACAGTTGTGTTACTTCTTACAAATATATTAGCAGACAATCATTATTTGATGAACAAATTTTGTCTGTTTATCTGTATTGTTCAGAATTACTTTCAATGTTTTAAAATTATTCTATAAATATTTGAATTCAAATTCTATTTTGAAATAAATTGTAGAATAAAATTATTTTCGTAGACTTACATATATTTCAGGAAATATCATAATTACATTTAATTTGAAGAAGGTAAATTAAGGATTAAATAATAAAATCAGAAATGACAAAATCTGAAAAGCTTATGAAATCATAAAAATATTTCCAACATAGTGACTCGTTGTGCCTTCACAAGCTAACGTTCTCAGCTGACATGAAGTGGAAAGACTATATTGAATTCATTACTAAGTCAGCTGCTAAGAAAGTTGGCACAGTTTTTCTCCCCTGAATTTATTTTGCATATTTACAAATCTACCATTTATCCATGCTTAGGATATTCTGCTATATATGGTTTTGGTGCTTCTGTTTTATCCTTGATAAAATCCAAAAGAAGAATCAGCAATATTATTGGCACTAATCGGCTTCATTTACTTTTCTATCACTGTAAAGTTGCCTCCCTGTGCCTTCTCTATAAATACTTTCATAGCAACTGTTCATATAAGTTCTCTGCAAAAATTGGGATTGTGCCAAATCCTGCCTCATGGGGAGGTCAGGTAAATACTGGCTCTTTGTCATGGTACCTAGACTTTTTGAATTTAAGTACTAGACTAGCAATGAGGTCTTACCAATTTACATTTAAGTTACCTAGATGTAACCATAAGCTGTTTGCTAAAAGTTTTGTTTTCTCACACTTCTCATTTGCAGAACTCTTTAATCTTCAGAAATTTAAATGCAATGTCAATCGCTATCTACTGTCCTCCTAATTACTCTTCTTTTGTTCTTGCTCCTTAGTAAAGTTTCTCATTTCTATTTCTTCCACACTCAGTAACCCCTTGTGTCTTAGTAGCTTTACTGCCTTGCTTGGGGTGAAACCAATTAAAAAAAAAAAAAAAAAAAAAAAAAATGGTACATTTTCAATAAAATTTCATTAGATTTAATTTAATACAGGAAAATAAATTAAAATTGAAAACTGTCTAAATAATTTACTCTGCATGACAATTTCAAAAAGAAACTTGGCACCAGGGATTCACTTCCCAAACAGTTCCTCCCTATTGCACTAAGACCCCTGTGTCATATCTTGCAGTCTTATGAGTAGTCAAAATAAACATTCTCCCAAATGTATTAATAGGGGTAAGATCGACATTACAGTCTGATGTTGATCTGCAGCATTTCTTCAACAAAATTCATGAAAAGAGATCTTTGAATTCTGTGGGCAAAACAAAAATGCTGAATTACCATTATTTAAAGGAATGTTTGACACCCAAGAGAAAAAATACCTTACAAGATTTTAATTACATGATAAAGTAAGGCTGAAAATTATATCAACCAAAATAATAGAAACAAGGATGAGGACAATAGTTTGAATAACTCATAGAAGATAGGTATATATATCAAACTCTTATATCTTAAGCATTGGTTAAACACCAAGGAAATACAAGTTCTTTTATGTCATTTTTTTTTTAACCCATATCCTCTTGGTATCTGTTTAAACTGATAAGTTCTTTCTTCTATACGTCTAAAAATTTGTAATGAATTGTCACTTTGAAAAGTGAAAGTTTCACTGAAAAATAGTAAAAAAAAATTACAATTTTTCATCCAAAATCAACAGAAATGTGAACTTTAAGCAAAATGTTCAGAATATATTGGGAGGGGAGGGGAGAAGAAGCTGTCAATTTAAACTGACACCAGGAAAATATGAGTTATTTATGTATTTGTGTTTCTTTTTTCTTTAATGTATCTCCTTTTGGCAAAGAGCAATTCCTTCCATTTGTTCCACTTCTGAGAAGAAGAGAAAGACTGAAAAGGAAGTAAAAAGAAGGCCCAACAGTTCCAGACATCACCACCAGGCCTACCATGCGACCAATGCCCAAAACTGTTTCATTCCCAATTTGGCCTCCTGAGCCAAACTCAAGACATGAGTGGCACTGCCACTGCTGACAATCTCCTTCTGACATGTTTTCTTTTTTTTCTTATTTCTAAAAAATAATTATAAAGTATAATTTTAGAAAGTGAAAATTTCACTGAAGTAAGTTGGAAAATTTCTAAGTTTTCATTTGAAATCACGACAATAGAAATTTTAACAATACCTGGAATAAAAGAAAGTGTCAGATTAAACAGATGCCAGAAGATATTAAAAGATTTACATTGTTAAATCTTGTTACCTAAAAATATCAAAAATTAGTTATAATAATATTTTGCTTTGTTTCTATTTATCAAAAAAATTTTGTGGGGTCTGCTTTATTGCTAAGAGAGTTCTATATTTCCTACCAGGGACACAAGTCAGTGTTCAAGGCCAAATAAAAAGTCACAATTTTGAAAACTCTTTTTTCTAGGCATTCAAGGCCACCCCCAACAATAAATGCAGAACAATATTCTTACCTAATTTTCTCCTTCCTACCTGACCTTGTACCATATTAAGTTAGAAAATATGAAAAAATATACAATGCAAATTTTTTAGAATTATTTCAATGAACTGCAGTGTTTTTCATTTTTTGTTTTTATTAAAATAAAATTCATAACACTTCAGGATATAGGCAGTCATGACACTCCACAACTTCTTTTTTATCTCTAAGTTGTGAATTGCCATGACTGTTCTTAGGAAAGTAGTTTCCCTTTGCCTTCCCCATGGTTTGCAATTCAGAAGTGACTTTTTTCTAGACTGGTTGCTTTACCAAGGATAGAGATTTCAGTTTACCCTATTATTTCGCTCATGGCTGGTGGGAGAAAAGTTGGATTCATATTTTTCCAACAGCCTAGGTAATAATTTGAACTTTCTCTACTGAGTTAATTTTTCAAGTTAATAACTGTTGTCACCTGTAAATAAAGATAATATGGATTAAGAAAGATAAAAAACAAAAATAATAGAGGAATTCTCTTGTCAGATACTGAAGTGTATAAGACAACTATAACAAGAAGCTTACTTTACAGATTGGACAAAGAGAGAATCCAAAGGTGATCCGAGGTCCAATCCATTTCCGAGAGAGAACATTCTTTGTACAATGCAAATGGAATACATGGGCACATTTCAACTGAAAAAAGAAAAAAATAATAATAATTAAATAGTAATATTATATTTACATACATAAAATATTGCATTTTCTCAAAGTCTATTTGTCTGAATTTCTGGGATAAGAAATTATCATTATTTACACTATTTATACACAGACTATTGTCCTCATTTTTGCTGTTGTTATCACAACGTTTCGACCATTGTGCCCTTCGGTCTTCATCAGGTGTATATTGATCTGGGTACAGAAAATTCTACAGGAAATTCCAAACTGAACCTTTTATTTAATCTAAAGTAGTTCTCATTCCACTGCTCATGTCTACAGATATCATCTAGTTCTTATTTTTTTTAAGTGCTGTTCAGTTATTGCTCACCTGTTTTCACTGAGTGCAAGTACACACTGCCCAACCCAAGGATTGAACTCGCAACCACTATGTCACCAAATTCACAAATCAATCAATCACCATAGGACTTTTTTCGCTGGAGTAAACTTAGAACCTTAAACCTAACTTTGGCTGCTGATTAAGCTGCAACAGCTGTTAACTGATTTATGTTTTAATTGCTACTGCTGCAGTTGAAGACTTTCTTTATTAATGGCAACCATATTGTACTTATTTCTATGCTAGACGAACTAAAGAGTCCTCATAATCTTGCATAAGTGCTGATTGTATTTGGATATGACACATTATGAGTTCAAATCAAAGGTTTGTATGCTGGGATCAAGCATTAGTTCTATGATGTGTAGTAAGTCAAGAAAAATATGTTGTTAAAAAAATTTAACTATTTGGGTTGTGTAGTAATAGACATTTATGTGTGGTCACTCTACAAGTGCTACTGCTACCATGTAACACAGCTAAACCTGGTTCCCCCACCAGCCTTTTCTAGTGAGGAAAGTGGCTAGACACCAAGCAGGATTAAAAACAAAACTTGTCAAAGATCAGATGCAGAGCCAGACAACCCCCACACCTGCAACCAGGTGAGGGGAACATGCCTGATTGGGTGTGGCAAGCAGTGCTTTGTGGTT